AGGCCACATAATAGATCGCACAATGCTTATAAGGCTTTAGATTGTTATTAACCTTGGTCATTCAAGCAGAACTTTATATCCTCCTCATCCAGTTGCATCCGTTAAAGTGGGACAGCTGTGGTAGGCTCTCCTCAACTTGACCCAGAGTGAAACAATGCAAGCAGGAAAAGGCTTTGCTGTAAGCAGCTGCTGGCTGCAGAGGTCAGAGGCTGATGTAACGATTTTAGGCCAAATTCTTCATCGTCCACACTCACCCAGAAAATCTGATACGCCATGTAAACAGTTTTCCACAAAGTGCCCAGTGTGAAAACATGTGATCTCAGGCTTGTGAGGCCCTGAGCTAAAAAGCAAATCTGCAGAAATGCCACAGAGCTCGAATTTTTTCCCCCTTTATGCAATGTATTAAATCACTGACCAACTGGACCATCTTTAATTACAATCAGTGAAGCCAATGCATAATAAAAGATCCAAACCTTGCCTGGCACTGTCAGGCCACATTAATATTTCACCTACTTCCTCTGGCTGTTTGCGGTGACCTTGAAAACTCACAGTGCCACTCACAGGTCTCGTGGCCCCGGCTGCATTTTTCTGCGTCTTCTTGCACACTCAAAATAAGATGTCCTCTGTGGCTGCAGAGGGCCGCTAATTTCACCCACTGACACATTTTTAACTGACGCATTTCTTTCCATAGAGGACTGATCCTCAGCCCCATTTAACAAACCCTCACTTTGAATTACCCTTACGTAGTACTCTGGGGATTTTTCTCTTTTTCTGTGCTATTACTCTTGTGGGATGCTCTTTCTGACAACCCAAACGGAAAAATTTGGGATCTCTATCTGTTCCTAGCTTAAGTTAGAACAATTACTTCCATGGTGTGTGGGGTTTTTTGGTTTTTTTTGCTTACTTAAGGCTTCTGGTAGATCTGTCTGCTTTTGCAAGATAGAACTTGCTCTTCGTGTGTGTTTATACAAGCTCCCTGATGTAAAACCACAGTTTCGTGTAAATCAAACCTGTAAACCTTGATTTCAGCTCAGATACAGTCACATGGAAATTCCATCAATCAAGAAATAAATGTTAGAGTGAATTACTAGGTGGATTGTTCCTCCGATGAGCGTGAGGGTCATCAGGTTCTGCAAAGATGCTGGAGGCCATCTTGTTCTTGCGCTGGGGCGTTGTGTTGTCATCTGTGCCAAAGGAGAAGCTGGAGTCCCCACCCGGCGGTCGTAGTACCCTTAGAAGCAACAAAATGACAATTTTGACGTCAGCTGGAATGACACCCCGTCTACCATGCTCCTATCTCCCTCCCCCCCCCGCCGCTCCATAACCTCTCGCTTCAAACTGCAACACAAGGCCTTCACGTCACACACCACTGATCAGATGCACAGCGCAAAAATAGGAAAAAAAAGAAAAAAGAAGATAAAATCAATAGTGAAATAAAACATGAGGTAGCCCCAAGCTACATGCAACCTTCTCTCTACTCCACCCTAAATCTTTTATAAACATACCACACAAGAAAGAAAGGAAAAAAAAAAAACAAAAAAACATGAGATACCAGCAAGGTCCCCCCCACTCTCTAAGCCCCGGCTGTCAGCCTGTCAGACAGACAGTCCCAATCTCTGCCCTGCAGCTGACTCCAGTCGCATATAATCACAGAGTTAGCTGGCTAGCTGCTGCCTCTCTTCAGCGCAGATTCCTTTGCAGTGACATATGAGGGCTTGTGTCTGCTTCTAGGGGGAATAATTACACAATTATCGCATTTATTCATCAAATCTGACGTTTATTTTGGTCACAATCGCACAATGGAAGTGAAAGGTCTGAGGTTTACGCTAAATATAGGTCATGTAATATTGGGACTGTTCTAGAACAGCACAGAAAGCCAGGATCCAGATACACAGATGACAAACAAAGCCTACTTTCCACAGACTTTCTTCCACCATGAACCAAACAAAAGGAATTCAACAGCGAGTAGGGAAACCCTTTTTCTCCTCGCTGTGCTCAAGGGCAGCTGGGGTGGACGACAGACACCGAGGTGCTTGCAGAGCCACTGCTGGACCCCTCCCTCTTTTTTTTTCTTTTCTTTCCACCATCAAACTCTCCTCTCCTGGAGCCCCCTAAAGTCACCAGCTGACACACCGAGCAGCTGTCCGAGGGCCAGGCAGGCAGATGGGAGTAAAAAAAAAAAAACAACTCTGCTCTTGAAGCACAGCTACAAAGAAAGCAACCAAGACGAGGGGGAAAAAAAACCAAACATCTCACACAGCCCAATATACAACAACGTGAATTTGCACATTTAATTCTTGGCTGTGACAACATATAATGCCTAAACCAGACTTCACCTCCCGGCCAGAGAGGATGAGCTCATGCTTTCCACATACACACACAGATTGCGACGGTGGGGGAAAGCTTTGAGCTGGCTGGCAGCAGACCCCACCCTAGAATGAACCTGCAAATAACATGAGTGAAATGGCAGTCATGTTTGGAAGCCTTAGGCCACTTTAAGGCAGGTGAAGCTGGGTAGGATACTGCTAAGGTCCAGAGCCAAAGATGGCATGTCTGATAAGGCAGGATAGGAGGCCTTTGATTTTAGCCTAATTCAAGCTGCTGCTCTACTGATCTACTTGGTCGTCCAGAAGCAGAAATGACCAGCAGCTCGCTAAAGGGGGCTTTAAGGGGGAAAAGGCAGAAGAGCTAAGGAAAGATTTACAGGCTTAGCTAGCTCAGAGCCCCCACCCAAGCCCCCTGCATCATCCGAAAGCAGCATGCGGACTGACCGACATTTGACATGCTCACTCAGACTCAGCAAGGGCTAACAGTGGCAGTATAAAAATCTCTAGCACGCCCTGAAATCATGCCTCGTTATAAAGGCGGCCATAATTTTAAGGTTTGCACTCTTCCCTGTAAGGAAAAAGGAAAAAAGGGAGGAATGCACGAAGCCGACATATCATCACTTACAGGAAAAGACTCAGCGCATGCTTGGAGGATGACTCTTAAACTGAGTGTAAAACCGGGCATCAGGCTCGCGACCCCGCTTAATGAGTTTCCCTAAAACTTCCTTGAACCAAAATTCAAGAGATGATGACATAAGCAGACCGCGGTCTAGTCTGGGACCTTTCCTGTAATCAATCAAATGGACTCTATCGTTTCTTTTTTCTTTCTTTCTTTTTGTTTTGTTAGATAAAATGCAACAAAAAAAGAACAAGTTAACAAGACGTTAACAACTCCAAGAGCAGCACACTCACAGATCTTTCCTTCCATAGTAGGAAGGAAAGAAAAAAAGTGGTGACTTGAACTATTAAAAAAAGTTATTTCGCAGTCTAGAGCAGCCAGCGGGGAGCTGACGTTAGGCTTAGGCAGCTTTGTCCACTTCTCCTTAAACAGAAATGTGGAAAAGATCCTGTCGAGCAGTTTGTTTCCGAAACCCAGGCATGCTAACCTCACTAACTTCGTGTAGCTAAAGGGTATGGTGCATCAGACACCCAATAAGATTATCTTAATTAGCTAGATTATGTGACAGTTTAGCTAAATCCAGAAAAATCCCTCGCCAACCACCACCGGGCTAACACAGCCTGTGATATTCTGTAGCAAGCTGTCTTTGAGCAAAAACGAATAAAAGAGGCGTTTGCTAGCTGAGAGGCTTTGCCCGCATCCTACTTCTTTTGTTCCTCCGTGAAAAGGCTTTCGGCTCCTTTTTACCTGGAACTACTTTTAGCACCAGGCTCCACTCCTTGAAAGGTGGTTGTCGTCGTCATCTTTTTTGGAGTATTTCGATGTCTGGCAGTAAGAAACAGTCAATTAAAAAAGTAATGGTGGGGGGGATAAATCCTCCTCCTTGCCCGCAGGGATGCGACGGGATGTAGACTCCACCCGACACTGAAAAACATAACGAAGAACAGATCCGCTGGTTCTGCGGTGCCAGCCCACCAGACCCAACCCACCAGTATTAGACACGTTGTGATTGGACAGAACGGTACAGAACTCGCCTCTCATTGGACAGAACTTTAGCAGTCGGATATCTTGTTGGTGGCAGGTCTCGGGTTCCTGTGAGGGATCGGACAGAAAAGACCACAACCCCGAGGGCTCTTTCCCCCCCGTTTTCATTTAATAGCGCTGATTGCGGCAATCTGCAAAATTATTTTAAAGAATAAAGTTAGAAAATTGGTATACTTTAAAACTTCTTTCTTAACTTCCAAGCCACAAAGGCTCCTCTCACATTTGCCAAAAACATCTCAAGATTTGAGAACATATCCCCTGGACTGATGGAGGTTTTTGAAGATAAAACTAACACGTTTTTGTTTTTTGTTTTTTAAAATAACATCTACCAACAATGGTGGCTGCTTTGCTGCTTTAACCCTTTCACGCATAGTGGTCACCACAGTGAACAGGTATTCAAAGGCTGTTTTCTTGTATTTTTGTCAGTGTTGATGGTATGTTTGCACATAAACCACCTCATTGCGCACTGATGTGTCACTCCATACCAAACTCATAAGTCAAAACCTGTTGTCCACCTAAGTGGACGTGTAACAAACTCTTTGAAAAGTACATGTTTAAAAAATGAAGTTCAAAAAACTTTTTTTTTCATGCCTAAAGATGAATAAAAATCCTTATGAAAAAAAAATCTGCTCTACCAGAAAATCCTGCAAAACCATCAGTTTGTGCCATGAAACTCGTTTTGTTTTGGACAATGTAAACGCACCAGCAAGTCCTCCTCTGAATAGCTTAAAAACACAAAATGAAGGTTTTGGTGTGGGCTAGTCAAAGTCGATCGCTACTTTATGCAAACATTTGATTGCAGTTCTTGTCGTCACTGGTGGCTCAACCGTTTATTAGGTGTAGGGGTCAATTACTTCTTCACACAGGGCAGTAAAGGTTTGGATAACTTTGTTCTCATAATGAAAGAAATAATTTTTTAAAAAATCTGAATGATTTGAAACATTTAAGTGCAACAAACATGCAGAACACACACACACAATTATATTGTTAAATAATAGAAAAATATGATGAAAGTTTGGAAAAAGACAATAGCTTTATTTCAACAAGCATCTTAATAGACAATACAGATGTTTATTTTGCTGGAACATCTCTTAGGGCTTCCCAAAATTTGAAGTGGCCTAGCAAAAACGATTTCTCAGAACATTCCTCTACACATCCAGTACTATTTTTAAAAAATGTAAAAAATCAAATATGTTTTGTGAATATGACAGAACCCAAATGTCAGCATATCCCGTGATCCCCATACTTGGCATATGGTTCACTAAGTGACAGCCAGTTCCAAAAATTGTACACTTTAAGAACAGATTTGCTGGCCACCGACCAAGATCAGCTGAGCAGATTTTGATCAATAAAGTCAGTTTTACTTAATGCTCACTCTATCACCAGTCCTAACAGTCTGGAAGGGAAGTCCTTAACACTTATCACAATACAGCATGGAAAAACAAAATCTGAACTCAGGGTGACGTGGATGTGGCTTATGTACAAAGACAGAAAAGTAAAAGGGGCGCGAATGAAAATATACAGCAGTTATGTGTAGCAGAGAAACGGGAAACTTCTTCTGCGTGGAATTCTGTTGAGACGAGCTGCGAAGAAGCAGGCGCTGTGTGCCTCAGAGGCCAGGAAAGTTGGTGGTGTCCAGGAAGAAAGTGGTGATGCACGTGGCCGATTAAATCCGTCCGCCCGTCTGTTGTTGAAACACATCGATCGTATCTTCATCTTCCATTTCCAACTGTTAAGGGGGAAAAAAAAAACAAAAACATATAAGCCCATGAATTTCATAACGTTTGAGTAATTTATGCAAAAAGTGATATGAGGGAAAATATCTGTACTGCAAAGAGGAAAAGGAGGATGCTAATTTGTTGACCTAGAGGGTGACAGTATGCCCTGTCCAAATGAAAAACTTCCCATTTGCATACACAAAATAGCACCACTGTGACAATAAAATGACGCACTGTATTTGGCTTTGAAGGCTGCACTGTGGACAAGGTTGGATGGCACTGCAATAACATGCAAGTTGTGGTTACTCCAGCCACAAACTGCAGTGAATACAACTGGCATCTGCACAGCGACATATTCAAAAACAACTTAAAATTAGCTTGTTGTGACAACCCGAGGCTCCTCATGGCAGCACTGTGACTTTGAACGAACATCTTTCAGCCTGGAGAACCCCTTAATGCCCAGTTATTAAGAAATACTGTTATCACAAGCACTAATCATTCAAATTTCAAATTCAAATTTTTATTTGTCACGTACACAGTCATACACAGTACGATATGCAGTGAAATGCTTAGACAACTGCTCGTGACCTAAAGAAAAAAAAAAGGAAAGGGCTATGAATAAGATAGGAAATAAATATTAAAAATTAAAAAGTGTAAATTTAACTAGGAAGGAATAAAATATAAGAATATAAAATATAAAAAATGAAATAACTGTACAACACAAATTAGAATGAAGGGTAAATTTAACTGGGAAAGAATAAGATAAAATATATAAATTAAAGTTGAAAATAAAATAACTGTACAACAAAATACACAATACACAGTATAGAACTATATAAGAATGTATGAAGAAATATAAATAAATAAATATATATATATATATATATTATATATATATTTTTTTTTTATATATATATATATATATATATATATATATATATATACACACACACACAATATCATCATGGGAAGTGCATGAAGTATGTTTAACTTATTGACACGGCCTCACCTGTGCTGGTGTGTCTGTCTCGTTTATTGGCTGCCCGTCAAATCTGAACCTGATTTGCCTCATTGACAGTCCCTGAAAAGAGAAACGTGTAAAATCTTGTTGTTAATCTCATGTGAAGCTCTGTATAGGCTAACGTGTACAAAATAAAAATGCAGACAATAATATACTCATGCTAAAGATAAGGCAGCTGAGGTTTGAGAGACATAGAAAAAAAACATGTCTTGCTGTGAAGCAGAAATGAAGAAATAATGATAACCATCTGGTTCTGGCTGTACTTTGTCATACAGCTTTTTTCAAACATCTCTTTTACCCTGATGGGAGTCCAAGGAACAGATAACACCGTGATTGGGTTTCCATTCTTCCACAGAGTTGAACCCTTATTTGACTTTCAAATAAAAAGGATCTCAGACCTCGTGTTCTATTACATATTTCTTTTACTTTTGTGCACAGCTCTTTTAGAAAACTTTGGGAATTGCTTTTGTAGCAATGCAAACACAGCTGCAATTAATAGAGAACCAGAGTGATGCTCAGTGCAGTGCTAATTCATACAAAAGTCAAAATTCCTGCATTCCATTACAGCAAGTAGCTTGGCAGAGAACAGCTTAAAATCTGAGCTAATCCATAACAGCAGGAGGAAAAGATTAGATGTCTTCTGCGATTACTGTGAAATCACAGATGACGATAAGGGAGGTTCATTTAAAGGATGCAAGAACCACGTAAAATGTTAAAGCTATGCTATCAAGTAGGTATTTGCATTAAAGCTGTAGACCCTAACTGCATTTGAGGAGGAAGAGAAGAACTGCAACGGAAACTTTTTCAAGGAAAAGTGAAACAACAGCCGTGATGAGTTACTGTCTGATGGATGGATGGACGGATCGTTTAGCACGTGATGTGTCTGTTAAATGTGATTAAAGTATTTGAGACTCGAGGACAGCTAAGTATGTTCTCTGTCCAACACACATACATTTGGCCTAACAGTAAATATCTACAAACAAGTGGAATATTCGATTTAACTAATAAGAACACCCCATGATTCAAGCTTGTAGAACCAACTAAATCATATTCTGTATAACTTTTATCAGTATTTACCAGGTGACTGAGGCTTGCAAGCATTTGTTTATCCTGCCACAGCATTTAAACCAGGCTGAGGTCTGGACTTTGAGTGGGTCATTGCAACACCTTGAGTCTTTTCTTTTCAGTCATTCTGTTGTACAGTTGCTGACGTGCTTGGGATCACTGTCCTGTTGCGGGATTTAATTTTGGCCAAGCTTTAGCTGTCAGACAAACGGCCTGTGGCTCTGTGGCTTAAAAACAAACCCAAATCATGACCCCTCCACCTCCGTGCTTAATAGTTGGTATGAGGTGTTTGTACCGATATGCTGTGTTCGGTTCTCACCAAACGTCTCTGTTCATTACGGCCAAAAACCTCTTCTTTGCTCTCCTCTGTCCAAAGGACATTGTTCTACATGTCTTGTTGTTTGTGCAGAAGCAACTTTGCAAATTGAAGCTGTGCTGCGTTGTTCTTTTTAGAACCTGGTAACCCTTCCAAACAAGTCACACTTGTTCAGTCTTTTTCTAACATTTAACATCCTAACTGAGGCTCTTGGGTCATTTTGCTATTTCTCTCAGGACTGCAAGGTTTGACCTTGACCTGAACTTGCCTGTAGATCCACTTCTGGGATTGTGGCATTGTGTTACCACACAGCTGAATACTCCAGATCTACAACCTACAAATTTCTGCTTGTATAGAGGTGCTCACACGCGCTGATAATCAGTTAATCAAATACAAGTTGATTAGTAACACCTGGCTGCTACTTGTCCCCTTGATCCCTATTGAAGTAGTAAAGGTGTACTTAGTTTTCCAGAGGATCGCACAGAGTCCTATGAAAACCTTTTTAAAATGCCTGCATATATTTTATGGTAAATGGGATTTTTAAGATGCCCTGGCATAACTGCTTGTTTTGGCATCTAGAATACAAACATATAATCTGCAGTCATTACATGCATGTGTGAAAAGTGTCAAAGAATTGAAAGTAAATGGTTTAATTGTATCCTATTCGGTTGTAAAACACGATTAACTGTGTGCAAACTTCAAAGTCTGGCCTCTAAAACATTAAGTAACTCCAGTAATGATTTCCTTATGATGTTAAAACAGCATAACCTGTAAGCACTTGCAAGCCTTGCTCCACAGAGGGTAGGCAACTCTCCCAGTAGATGTAATTTTATACACCCGTGTCTTTTTGTAAATGGTGTGCAGCGATGCAGGGAAAAGGTCAATTAAAAGAAAGCAGGATTATTGTTAATAACATCTAAACATGTTATTTAGAATACAATCCAACAGCTAACTATCAATTACATCAAGTGTATATATGATTAGCAGCAGAGGTGTACAGAGGAACACTCGACAGATATTTCTGGGGAAATAATACTTAAAGTCGAGTTCCCCTCATGTGGTGAGAACAGAAAATAACAAGAAGTCTATTTAACTGTAGCTACACTCTGCTTATAAAGATCTATGCCCACTCAGGAAATGATCAGTGTTAGTGTAATGCCTCAGGGCCATAATCACCTGTCTCTCGCAGTAGGCCTTCATGAGTTTGATGAGCGGTGTGTGTCTTTTGATCTTGAACTGCACTACAGATCCATCCTGACCCGCTACCTTCAGGTTTATGTGTTCATTGTTTTCTGTCTTCACTGATTCCTGAGGGATAGAAGCACAGATAGAAACACAGTGAAGGAACAAAAGAAATGACTTTGACTAACCAGAACAACACAGTAGTTACAGGTTTGCAGGGGGAAAGCTCTGCACGGTATTTTCTGTTATTATTACATGCGTAATTTCAGTCCCTTTAGTGCCTCCGGTGGCCTTTTAATTTTGCAGTAGCGTGATGAAATAATGAATTCAGACTTAAACAGCTCACCAGGTGGCTAGGGAAGGATATTGGCAAGAGCTTATTAATATCCATGACATTATCAGTTGTGCTAATTCTTTATTGATTCTTGATCAATTTTCTTTGGGAGGAAAAAAGCAGGCAAATGTCAGTATCAACCCAGCCGTGTCATTATCGCCAAAACAGAGTAGGAAAAGACTGAGCAGCACAAAAGCAGCACTGCTATGAGTTTGACTTCACTTTCGCAATGTGTAACTGCCAGAAAGATATGTCAGCATCCATAAAAGGAAGGTTGATGAGCCCAAAGGTGTAAAATTCCCAAGACTTTTGCGAATTTGCATATTTTGAAATTGTTTAGATATACAGTGCTGTGCAAAAGTGTTGAACCACCACTCATTTCTTAGATTTTGTTAGGATAATGGCAAATAGTTGCAGCAATTTATTGAAACATGCAAACATACTTGAGAATACAGTATGAGCTTGAAAATTAATGTTTGATATGACCAGACTTTATTGTTCCAACACAGCCTGAACTCTCCAAGGAGAGCCTTCTTGTAATTTCTTTAAGTAGTCTGAGCAGTTCTCCAAGGTTCTTGAAGGACATTCAAAGCTCGTCTTTGGATGTTGACTGCTTTTTGGTCTTATCTCCTTCAACATGATGCAACACTATTTCAATAATGGTGAGGTCCAGGTTCTGGGGAGACCAATCCATCACTGACATTGTGTCCCACTGTTTTTTTTTGTTTTTTTTTAATCCAAGGTGTGCTTTTACTGCACTGGCAGTGTAGTAAAAGCACTTACTGTGCTCGAAAATGAGCCTTTTGCCAATCAGATGCTTGCCAGATGATATTACACGATGGATCAAAATCGGTACTTTTCTGTGTTTCCATCAGCTGTGACAAGATCCCCAACACCATTGGCTGAAATGCAGACCGAAACCATGACAGAGCCTCCACTGTGTTTGACAGATGGATGTAGACACTCACTGCTGTATCGCTCTCTTGACTTCCTCTGTACATATAGATAATTTAAACCCAAAAAATTATAAATCTCAACTCATCACTCCAGTTCTTGTCTAATTTTGATACCTCAGCTTTTTCTCCTCATGTTCCTCTTCCTTGAAAATGGCTTCTTGACATTTCTGATGAGGCTTCAGAGGACAGTACATGGATCATCTGAACGTCCAGGTGCATGCCTCAGGTCCTGTGTCAGGTCTTTGCCGAATTTTTCCCATTTCTTATGGGCATGAATTTCAGATGCTGATCATCTGTTCATCTTAAAGTCTATAATCTTTTTTGTCCTCCACTTGTCCAATTTCCTAAAATTTAAGGACACACTGCACACAGTCCTGAGATATGCTAGGTCTCTCTTTGGGAATCACTTTGTTGGTGCAAAAATACAATTTAAGCCTTTTGTGGCATAAAAAAGTCAGTTAAAGAAATGTGTTTTCTAAATAGGCAAAAACACGAAAGACCTGGAAAACTTGCTTATAACCACTGAGTAGGCAAAACAGAGAGTACTGAGGGATGGCTCAAGACTTTTGCACAATACTGTATACAAACTATTTCTCAGATTTAAACAAAATTTAAATCTTAAGTCCCCCCTTTTCGCTTCGCCTGCAGACCGAGATCACCACAGTGATGATTCATAGAGTTTCAGTGGCACCAACAGATTTTCACCGGTACACTCTCCCACAGTGGCACAAGCCATTCACACATGGAAGGACGCAAAAACACACACACACACACACACACACACACACACACACACACACACACACACACTGGCGAAATGAGGCATGCAGTGGGGATGACACCAGCTGGTTGGCTGTGTGTTATCAAGCAGAAAGAGGTCCGCGCGCCATTGGATGCGCGTTCACAAACCTTCCGGTCTATCAAAGTAGGTACAGCTAGTAGTTGAATTTCAGCTTGTAACTTTGCAAAAAGGCACAGCGGAACATGCGGAAATGACCGTATTTTTACACACGCATGTGTCAAAAAAAATCAAGCGGAGTAAACTGGCATTTCAATCCACTGTGAAGACACTCACCTTTGGTTTTTCATCAGCCATGGTCACTCTTTTGGCGCTTCTCTACACTGCCACACAAAGAACACGAGTACGCGCACGTACACGTGCCCGTTTAGTCTATTGCAACTGAACGTGCGCGGCCACGCGCCCGTGCGCGTCCACCTCAACGAGCGTTGAGTGGACAGCGAGTAGTCACGAGGTTGAAAGCGCAGTCTGGGCAAGGGCGGGAGAGTCACAATGCGCGTTAAAGAGGCAGGCAGATGCACGTGCACGCGCACAGCGATGTTTTCCCTTTTGTTTTTAGGTTTAGAAAAGCGGTTATCTCATTAAATGCTCCTTATCGCCCTGCTGACCTCGCATGGGTGCAGCATAGTTCAGTCAGCATCACCACACATGATCCTCACTGCATGGGGAGAGCGATATGTGCACTTTTCCATTTCCTTTTTCGTTTTAACCCTTTAAATACCAGTGGCCATCTTGTTTTTTTGTTTTGCCTGATGGTGATGTGTAGGTGTACTGAACCAATGGTGGCCTTTACGAAATCAAACTGTAAGAGTACAGGGCAAAGCTGCACTGATTCTTCACAGATTCAAGTGGAGACATTAGTGGGGGTAGCATGTTCGTGGATAGCAAAAGACAAACCCAGCTTCTTAATGCTGGTAATGACCTTTCGTAGGTGAGTCCGGGCAGGCAGTTATAAGGTTAGTGATAAGCTGTGTTATCTGCATTTGTCGCGATAAATCCAAAATCCCGAGTCAAGCTCAGCCGACGGAAAAACAGGCAGGTAGACGGGCACCCCTTTCGGTGACATCTTAACGCATGCGCAGCAGGTACTTTCGACTGAAAGAGCGAGGCGCGTAAGCAGTACCGGTCCACATTTGCAGTTCATGGCGTGTTTATAGCCAAAAAAGTTCCCATTGTTGTCTTTTCTGTGTCGATGATATTGTTCACATATGGAGGAGGTAGACGTTGAGCCCACTATTACTGTAAGTAGCCATTGTAGCTTAGTGTTTTTAATTCCTTATTGCCACTAAATGGCTTTGCTAACAGGCTAACTTTCGCAAACACCTATTTCAACGACCCGTTTGAATATTTATATTGTACGTTGTCAAGAAATGTTAAGGGGCACACACTCAGCCATGTCACAAGTGTAAAAGTGGCAAGATTATAAGAAGATGAGTTAGAATTACTAGCAGCATTAATTACAGTTTGAGTTAGTAATATAGCTAGACCATGTCCCACTCAACCTTCTCACATAATATTAGAATTAAATATGAAACGGAATCATTTAATTTTAACCCTCGTCATGTTATTCACATTATTTTCAGTGTAGTAACAGTGTTTGTATTTTTTATTTTTTTTAATTGCAGAATATCCCTGCAATCAGTGATGGAAAGCACATGGGATTTGCATGGGGTCCTGGTGATATTCTTGTATATGAGACACGATACAAAGCATCAGGTATGCTTCAAAATTAGTACAAGGCACCATGTATACTTTCCCAGTTTTCCTCTATCTCTTTTTCTTTTTAAGAGAATGAATGGTTTAGTGAATGCCTGTAAAATGCTGTCTTAATTTTTGTGTGTTTGTCACACTTTAATGTTTCATATTATCAAAAACATTTGGATTTTTGATGAACAAAGATGACCAGATTAAATATAAAAGGCAATTTTTAAATGACGGTTGCATTTATTAACAGAAAAAATGTATTCAGCGCTATCTGGCCCTGTGTTTTTGTTTGTTTGTTTTTTAAAAAAGATAATTGCCCCCCAAACTTAATAACTGGCTGTGCCACCGTTGGCAGCAAGTAATGCAATCAAGCGTTTGTGATAACTGGCAGCAAGTCTTTTACATCGCTGTGACCCACTCATCTTGGCAGACTTTATTTAATTCAGCCACATTGTAGGGTTTTCAAGTGTGAACGACTTGTTTAAGGTTTTTCCAATTCATCTCAATTGGATTTAAGTCTAGAATTGCACTCCAAAACCTTACATTTGGGTTTTTGTAAGACATTCAGAGGTGGACCTCCTTGTTCAAATTCAAATTCAAATTTTATTTGTCACGTACACAGTCATACACAGTACGATATGTAGTGAAATGCTTGGACAACTGCTCGTGACCTAAAGAAAACAAAAAAAGGAAAGGCTATGAATAAGATAGGAAATAAATATGAAAAATTAAAAAGGGTAAATTTAACTAGGAAGGAATAAAATATAAATTAAGGTTGTGTGTTTCGAATCATCATAGAGTGATTAGAATTCATGGTTTCACCTAGCAGCTCCACACCATCACATTACCACCACCATGTATGACTGCTTATATGATGTTCTTTTATGAAATGCTATGTTAGATTTACACAAGAGGTAACGGGATTAAAAACATGCTTAGCCCTGGAACAATTAGGTTTGGATAACCTTTTTTTTCCTTCCTAATAAATGAAATCATTTAAAAACAGCATTGTCTTTGTCTAGTATTAAAATTTATCTATTTATCTGATCATGTAAGTGTGACATGATCAGATAAATAGACAAAAATAAGCAATCAGGAAGGGGGGGGGGGATTATTTTCCATAGCACTGTATGATGTGTTTTACTATATTTTTTATGGTTACTTTTAGAGATGTGCAAATATATGTTTTCAGTAAACATATTTTGAGCCGTCTTTTTCAGACATTTAAATTTTGTTGCATATGTGCAATGACAATAACTATAATATTGCTGTTGTTCTTTCACCTCCTGCCTTTGTTTCAGGTGCTTCAGGATCAGGTTGCTCGTTCATCCATGAGATCAGGAAAGATGAGGACATATATTCCCCCATTTTACGCAAGCTTTTTAACGAGTCTCACCACATCTTCGTTGGCCTGCAGACAATTAGAGAGGACCTCCCTAGCAAGAGTAAAAAACCCCAGTAAGGGCGCGTGATGCAATCCCACCTCTGTTTGTTCAAATTGTTGGATTGCATATCAGTGGCATAACAATAGTTGCAAAAGTCACACAAAGCAGCACCCACATTGTATGTTTTACAATTTTACCTCTGCCTTACTCCTTAGATTTGTTAGTATCAGCAAAAATTATCGATCCGTGATCCGTGCTTGTATGGAGGAACTTCAGCAAGTTGCAGGTAATACTTTTGAAAATATGCTTCTTTTGGCAAAAATTTTGAGTTGATGTAACCATAAAAGTTTTGGCAGTTTTTTCAGATTTCTATTTTATAGTCTTGTTTATACAATAAAAACACAGGAAAGGTGTGTGATTACTCAGAAAAGAACTTTTCTTTTTGCAGTTTCTACCAAAAATACAGAGTTGGCCACGCAGTGTGGAAATCAGGTAAGTACTAATGTTTGTGTGGCAATAACTTTCCCTGGATTAGTCCACATACAGAGCATGTATGATTTAATTGAGTAGCATGTCACATCTCTGTGGGTTTTATGACCACAATCAAACAGCCTGTATTTAAAAGGGGACGTTAATGCTCAGTTAGTGAGGAAGAATCCACATTCAGTTTTTTACTCGGATATACATTTCATTACATTGTTTAGTGGCACTATCCTGACCCTGATCTGCTTTTTGTTAAAGGTGTCCATTCTTTTGGCCATAGAACTGATCTGGAATCTGTGTGAAGTGCTGTTCATCGATGCTGCTCCAGGTTAGAATCTGCATCTTATGACTGGATTTTGGGGTTGGAGAAACACCCAAACAAATGTATGTGCAACATGGGTGTGTCTGTATTTTCAGCGGGCTCCCTGTTGCTCCACCTGCTGGACTGGGTAAGGTTACATAAGGCTGACGTGGACGAGAAGGCCAGGGAGGTGCTCCAAAGTGAGAGCCCTGCCGAGCACCGCGACTATTGGGACGTGGTAGGTGCAGCATGTGCGCACAGTTACATCTTTAAAGTGACATGTGCACTGTTGGTGTTCTGCATTTGCTTCTTCATCTGTGTTTTGTCTGATATGAATTCTCTGGAGAGATGTGAGTGATCACATGGCGTGTGTGTGTGTGTGCTCAGGTGGTGAGTTATGTGCTGCAGGGCAGGTTGGAAGAAGTCAGACAGATGCTGGTGAAACAGGCCAACCTACAGCCTGCTGCCAGGAGCATGTACAAGCAGATGGATACCTTGCTCAGCAAGATGCCCTTCTACAATGTAAGATAAAAATGCAGTGGTTTATTTCCTTTGAACGATAGCTGAAATTATTTTAATCATGCTTCTAAATGGGATTATTGTGAAAGTGTGCACTGTTAATTTTACAATCAGAAATTAATCACACAGGTTCTTGATGTTTTCTTAATGGGCTGTGGATGTGACATTAGAGGAAATTATCTCTAGGCTGCAAATACACAGTATGATGATATAAAATGATAATAAATGGTCTCCTATAAGTTAAAGTGTATCAAACATCAAATGTGCTGCTGTGGACTAAAATGAATTTAAGCCTCTTTATTTTGCTGGTGGTGAAATGAAAATCTACAAATCTGTTCAAAACTTCTTTGCTAAAGTTTCTGTTGCTTTCACATACATCATTCAGACAGTAAAGGGATTAAGTACAACATGTTTGTGTTCATTCAGTGCAGCGATTTCTCTAACGCAGCCTAAACACAAGATGAGCGCATGAGCCGACCCGTGCTGACTCACACCTCTGAATTTTCTGTAATGTTCCCTCAGCCTGGTGGCACTCAGACGCTCACAGAGTTTGATGTAAAGTGGAGGCACTGGCACGAGGAGGTGGACCGCTGCCTGCAGGACAACTCGTTCGCCAGCAACCGACATCTGGAGCTCATCTGCAAGGTGAGTGAGGAAGTTCATTATTGAAGGGTCAGTGCAAACATCCAGCAACAGTTAGGCTATTTTTTTTTTTTTAAATGTCCCCACCCCATTTCACCTTAGATCCTTCTGGGAGATGAAGACACTTTGCTGGATCACAAGGAGCTGCTGGGTACCTGGTATCACTTTCTGGTCACGAGACTTCTCTTCTGCCACCCCACAGTGAAACTCACAGAGTTGCATTATTATGCTCAGGTATACCATATTCTCACATCATTCAGCATTTAGAATCACTGCTGGTTTAGTCTTAAAAAGTATTGCATTTTTTTTTAAAACCTTGTCAGATATCCTGTAAATACTGTGGTAGAATAATTTTTTTTTAAAAATATTTGCGTGTTACATCGTCTGTTGCAAATTTCAACCAGTTCATGTGGCTCTATGATTTACAGTTTGAAATTTGATTGTAAAAAATGTACAGCAGCCCCTGATTTATTGTTTGTGTATCTTGTTTGTATGTGTGCGCACTGCAGTCGTGCATGACGATGTTTCTGGACTCGAGGAGCGTCCCAGAGCCCCTGGACAACATCTTACTTGCTGCCTTTGAGTTTGACATCCATCAAGTCATCAAGGAGTGCAGGTAAGACAACTTTTTTTTTTTTTTTTTTTT